TATATATATATATATATATATTGATTTTAGATATATCATATAACTTATCTGCAATCCTTATATTTTAATTAAGATATTTGATAAACACAAATTGATCTCTTCAGCATTATATTATGTTTGTATAATGAAAGCTATGACTAATTTTGCAACCAATCCACGACTTTTCAAATTTTTCTAATTCAATAACGACGTGCACATCAAAACGACAACGACTGCTTTGCAGCTAAGGGAGGATGTGAAATGGTATGCACTACATGCTTACAGTCTCTCTAATCTTTAAACCAGCACACATAAGCCAGCCCAAGAATGCCTTGAATCAAAATGAATTAACAGTATTGTTCCACTCGTTTCAGGTCCTACTTGCTGTTCGTTAGGAATCTAATAAGAAGCAGGCCCCTCCGTGGAGTCGCTTCTAGCTGACTTATTCTTGACATTGCTTTGGAACGGGGAGATGAAAAAAGCACCACCCATGCTTGCTGATCCAAGACGACAGTTCGAGAGGCAAATTCTGAAGCCAATCTAGACTGCGCAAGTCAAAACGAAGCACACAGCACAGTGAGATTTTAAAGCTGCAGGGGAAAAAAAAAAAAAAAAAAAAAGAGAAGCAGTGTGCTCAGAGACCCCCCCAAAAAAGCAAAAATCAATTCGGGGACCAACGACTGAGCCCACAAGGACATCAAGCATGACTGAGTGTACTGCATTTTAAATATTTGCTTTTAGTTGGTTTTGTCCTCTAATCAAGCAATTTTAAAAGCTGAGATTTTATTTTAAATAGCCAAAAATGCTATTTATGTCATGATAACTAACTAAAATGCAATGCATATTTAATGGTCACAGCGCGAAGAGTCAGTATACTGTAGCTACAGTTGCTTGCATCCAAATTAGCAAAAACGTTCTGAAAATGATTTTGGAAACATGGTGGATTTTTATAACATGGGCAATAAAACCCTATTTGGATTTCTATTTGATTTGCTGATATTCAAGGCAGATGACATGCTCCGAGTAAATATCCTGACTAATTTTCATTCTACATCATCAGCTGCTCAGCACACAAACATCAAACACAAATATCTACATCATCTACAATCAAACAGACTATAACACAAAGAAATCACTTCTTGTCCCAGTGGGCATGTTGTGTATGTGCGTGCATGGGTGCCCGAGTGCAAGCACGTATCTGTAGCCGAAGCGTGTCAAGTGATCCACACAGGATATTAAAGCTGTCTATTCTAATCACTTTCTTACACAACTTTGCCCACTCTCCATTAACCACGCTTGCATACGCGAACAGCTTTTGGGGGCGGATTAAGAGTGAACTTGCTAGCACATTTTTTAATCAGTGGAGGAGTGATCCCTACAAGACTGTGGGTGAGGGATATAAGCACAGACCTTGTGACATCGGGAAAGCGAATCGGGAAGTGAAGGACACAGCATTTGGGCCGGATGAGTCGGTCCAGATCTTTGGGCCGATGGTCAGGCATGGTCTTCATGAAGGTAGAGATGGAGGAGAGGAAAGACTCCATGTTGAATGCGGAGTTGAACGCCACCACATCCGCAACCAGGCTAGGAAAACATTGACATTTCAGATGACGAAGGATGAAATATACTGACAAACAAAGCCACTAAATGTCAAACTGTCACAATAATGCTCCTTAATTAATTCTCCAAACGGAGCGTTATTAAAAACAGCATATGTTTTGAAAAGCGAACTTCACTCGTATATGAAAAGCCGACGTCTCCAGTAACTAGTCACTTTAAATATCTAACACATGTTGATTAGAATCCACAGACACAAACACACCATGTTTTTAAATGGCACACTGATTAACCCCAATTGCCAGAATCAATCACTGCATTGCGCTCAATTAGAGAGTGAATTAGAGGAGCCGAGCGCTTTTTTGTGTCACTGTTCTGCCACGTTAATAAAGTTGAGCAAGCAAAGGGCCTTTGAATTATTGACATGATACTCTGACAGACAACAATCACAATGTATTCCAATAAGAGCTCTTAAAACCCTTTCTTTCAAGCATCAAGATTGATTATGACATTAGGCTTTAAAACAGCGAGTTCTTAAGAATTAGAGCACCATTATATGATCCCATAATTAACCAATCACATCATGCCAAGTAACGCGCATGATAAACTATTCTGTCTCAGACACACGGTCTCTCTTGTGAATTAAAATCCAGTCTGGTACAGAAATGGTACTTGTTATACACAGACTGTACTGACATATTAGCATACGTTAAGATGACCAGATTTCTGAAAATCAAAACATGGGAAATTTCTCATTTTAATTTCTAATGTTATTTGATATTAATTCAAAAGTCCTCATTTTTTAATTCATAGTTAATAACATTAGAAATTAAATTTGTTTTGTGTATTTTGATCATGGTTAATGTAGTAATGTTGTGAAGCATGACACACTGTATGATACTTTGACATTCTACTGCTATACTATTTAGTCGACAATCCACACTTATGAACTGTAAAAACTACTTAAACAGAAATTACACACGTGTGTGCATGTGTAATATCCAGCACAATAGATAAGTCTGGTAACCCTAATAATGTTGGGCGATATGGTCATTTTTCAAATCGTCATATCGCCGATACACGATATTATCGTGCGTGCGTGCGTGGGTGGTGGCAAGAGAGAAACTCTCTGTACTTGTCATAGGCTATTTCATAACTTTTTGGTGTTTTAAACCATGCGGGCGCGTGAGAGAAAGCCTATGAAAGCACCAAAAATCAAAATAATATACTTTCAAACATACTGATAAACTAACATGTTAAATATACAAATATTTAAAACAGCTAGTTCATATACATTCGGATACAACAGCCATACATCGCTATTAGGACCGCGCGTCCTGTGGCAAGTTTGCCGCATCGACGCACGGAAGTTATCAGTAGGCTATAAAAGGTCTGCAGTCAATGGTGAAAATCAAAAGTAGATTTATTTTAAAGACCAACAGTTTAACACTAAATACTGGACATAAACGAACATGTTAAATATAAAAGTATTTAAAACCGGTAAGTTCATATATTTGGAGTAAAGTTAAATTGAACGGATACATCAGTCATACAGCGCTCCGGACCGCGCACCCCATGACGCACCGCCACAGAAACAAGAATGAGATGCGTTCTAACATAACTGTGGTGTTAAACTCAA